AAGACACCTGCTTGTTCGAACGGCCTCGCAAGGCCAAACCCATGCAAGCTCCTGACAACGAGGGAGCATCTTCTGACAACGAATCGATTCCAAATGTACCTGTTTTCGAAGACTGATCGGCAAAGGAACTGCATGATGGATTGAGAGCACCGAGAACGGTGCAAATTTTCTTAGGACTGCAAATCCCCACCCGCATCGATCAACGCTTCGAGATCACCAACGACAAGGTCATCCCCAAGATCAAGGAAGCCCTCGAGAAGTCAGACACCGTCCACATTTTCGACGACTGGTGGTTTATCTCGAACATTAGCACCGATGGCGAAGCGGCTTGCATCAACCCAATGACGAAGTCACTCGTCGTCACGGGTAAGCAATTAACTCAATGTATCGGTCAGCGCCACCCGGTCATAAGCTTTGCAGCCACCCAATTACTCGAGGAACCCGGCGATAACTCTATCGAGACGTATGCTGCGCACGAGGAACTCGCCGAAGCTGCAAACAAGTGCGAACGCCAGTTGGCCCGAGACGCTGTACTTTTCCGCGATCACTACGCTCACCTCGTCCACGCGAAGGGGGGCACTTGTTACAAGAATACCTTATTCGCACAATCCTAGGATGGTCCTGGGACACTCATCCTAGGATGAGGTCATCGAGGGATGGATGACTCAGCCATAGATAGAAATTAGACAATATTCGTACGCAGTAGCTAATAATAAGAAAGACAACTTTCTTCTCTGACTTTGCCTTACAAATTGGTAGCTTGGATCAATATGCAATCCGTAGGGCTGTGTATTTGATGTGATACGCTGCTCTCAATGTCTTGAGCAGTACTGGTCTTGAGGGTCTGGTTTTCCGGCCCATCAGGTGGAGCGAGTTCTCTCCAGAATCGTAAATGTCCCGAACCATATCATTACCCTCAAAGGTTCTCGGTGTGGGTATATGTGTCTATATAACTGGTTCCATACTGGTCTGCTGCGAAGTAAAAACGTCTCGTGAAATGTGAGGAAATAAACTGGATGGCTCAACATGGCGTGAACTTTGATGTTGACTTTTCGGTCACTGCCCAAGAGCCACAAAGGTACACGATTATAATAGTTGCTAGAGACCGCGTTGCTCGCTTTTGAGAAACAGGAGAAGAGAAACAAAACAAATTCAAAAAAGTTTGTTCTTGCACAGGCGCCTATACCTACACGCACGTACATACCGGCAACTACATCAGGCAAACCTCCCAATTTGGCAATAAGAGAAGCTCCTTCGAACCCACATCCTGTAGCTGAGACTTCATCATCTCCGTTCGACTTGAATCCACCTCCATTTGCAGCCTTTATGGAAATGGTTGCAGCTTCAGGGGGTGCTCAGTCCCTAACCATTCAAACCGTTGAGAACCTGAAATGCGACCCAGATGTCGAATACAGGCTAAGAGTACTGCTCTTTGACCTTTGCAACCTCTCTAAGCGACATGACTCCCATGAACGGCTCGAGCAGACCACCGATAGTCTGTACATCAGTGGCCCATATCTCACCCCGGAACAAGCCGTCTCCGTCAGAGAGGCCACCAGTTGCGGGGGAACCAACCCAGACGGAACAGAACGCCGGCCGGGTCTGTCGGTTCAGGATGCTCTCACCAAGTCCATGGAAGACTTATTCGAGAAACGGAGGGCGAGCGGCGACGCGCGACCTTGCGGTCCCCACGATCTCGCTCCCCTTTACCTGTCGATCTTTGGTATAACGAGCGCAGAGCTAGCGGACGAGCAGTTCTTGCGTCGTTTGGGTCGACAGGGACTCAGCGTGGCTAACGCAGGACTGGATAGCGTGGGTCGGAGGGCCGAGAAGGGGAAAGGGCGCAAGGAGGCTCAAAGCGCGGACGGAGAGTCAGGGGAATAAGGAAGGGATTGGGAAAAGGTAGGCCTCCTCGAAACAGAAGGGTGGCCAGAGATGCAAGAAATATCAGGAAGGAAAGCCATTCATGGGCCCAGGACGGAAAAGATGGTACAATAACCAGTTGAAGTATCGCCAGGATGGCAATGACGAGCAGCGTATGGCTCACAAGCAAGTCCGGCTCTCTATCTGGCAGGATGATTGTTAGCTCTGTTTTTCGTCAAATGTATGGTTCAGACACCGTCACCTTCGCAATTCAATAATTTTCCGTTCGGTCAAGGAGACGTGCTTGCTACCCCTGGGGCGAATGCCAGTAGCAGCAATATGACGTGTGACACCTGACCTAGCACCAACGGCACTCCAACAGCCTAAGCAACAGATGACGCAGTAGAACGCGGAGATGTACCGACTTGATCGGCAAGACTACGCTGCCGAGTACCGGATTGACGTTTGCGCCGCCAACTTCAAGAATGCTCGAGCTCCGTGCCACGCGGGCGCAGAAACCTGCGAGTACTTACTTACTCCGTATGACGACATCGCGGTCAGAGCCCGACGACGAGAAGCTGCTGGCAGCCCTGCGCGACGATTCGGCAGGATGCTCGCGGACAGTGTTACCAGCTCCTAGATGATGAAAAAGCAGACGAGGGTTTGAAAAAGGAAAAAAAAGAACACAAGTTAGGTGTTCTCTAGTGCATGGCAAATGAGGACAGCTCTGAGGAAAAGCTAACTACTGGCTGATAGGGGGGGTGAGGCGCAGAGACGATGGTGCTTTCGGACATTCGTTATGGTAATCGAAATTCTTAAATGCCTAATATCGATTCCAACATCCTCTGCAGGAATGTGCGTAACCGTACCAACAGTCAGCTTCCAGAGCGACCCCATCAAAGAAAAGTTGTCTTCTCCAGGTGTCTTCAATTCACGCTCTGTGACTCTTATTATTAACGAGGCAAGGGGCTAATCTGTTAGGTGTCACGACGTCGAGGCTGGTATTCACAATTATGTCATTAGGATTTATGTGCCGCAGAACAACCCCCCCTATTTTTAGGACCGGGGGGGGAGGGGGCTGTCAGCCAGTCAGTCAGCCAGTCAGCTCACCGCCGTTCGTATGTATGTTGCGACACGTCAAGCTTTTTACGCATGCGGCTCCGTGTGCTTGCCCTCCATCTCCGCATATCCTTTCCGTGCTTGTGCAGCACTTTGCTTCAACATTGTTGCCACTGATGTCAGAGTGTCATGTGCTGGGAATGTACAGCCCACGTGTATCAAGGCTGATTGAGGGCTTTTCATATGTTGTTATGTTGTTGGTTCCAGTGATGATGTGGTGTGATGAGGGTGTGTAGCCGCTGTCTCTCGAACATAAAGATGGCTGGTCCTTCGCTTGGCAAAAGCCTCTGCCGGTCTTGATGTGTATGGAAGTGACATAATTGTTAAGAAATCTCTCTGGTGCGATCGTACCGTCATCCTATCCATTTATTGCCATTGCCATTGCCTATTTTCTCCCTTCTCGAGATAATTTCTTCCTGTCTTGGACTACAGAATACTCTATTTCGGAACACTGAACTCAACTTTTGTCTCTAACATTGAGCGACGTTCTTCTATGATGGCCCAAATCTCACCCCGTGATAGAAAGCTGCCGCCAGGATGCGTGGAGGGCAAGCATGGATATCTCTCCCAAGAGTGTCACAGTATATGGAAATATGAGCCAAGTTTTGAGGTAGCACTCATCTTTGCTGCACTCTTCGGCATGGCAACCCTTTTACACATCCTCCAAGCTATTCGTTACAAGAAGGCCTACTGCAGTGTGATTATCATGGGCTCCCTATGGGAGACGGCCGGGTATCTCTTTCGCGCCGCAAACACGCGAGACCAGCAGAACACCTCGTTATATATGATCTGGCTTGCCTTCAACTCTCTAGCTCCCATATGTACGTCTCCTCATCTCCCATTCAGCCTGGCATTACCCCAGAGGGATCTAACAAGGCGGGGCCAAAAACAAAATAGGGATCAACGCCTTCGTCTATATGATTCTCGGCCGTCTCGTCTGGACTTTTCTTTCCGCGCAGCGTATCATGAAGATCCGGGCGCCGACCTTGGCGGCCCTCTTCGTACTCCTTGACATCGCCGCGTTCTTGGTACAAGCTTTCTCCGTTGCGCTCATGACGCCCACCGCCTCTGCGGATCAAATTCTCCTCGGCACGCACATCTACATGGGCGGCCTTGGCGTACAGCAGTTCTTCATGGTCATCTTCCTCGTGTTCGTTATTCGGTTTCAGGCTGGGGCCCGACTCGCAGAACGCAAGGGAGAACATAGGGGACGTGGTTTCAGCAGAGGTTATCTCAGCGGCTGGAGAGGCCAAGTGTTGACTGAATACTTGGCTTTGGTGTTCATCACGGTAAGTTTCTTCTCGAAAAAATTATCGTGCATTTTTCCCTGGCGGACGATCGATCTTAGTATGGTGCTGACACCTGGTATCCGAAAGGTTCGGATCGTCTTTCGCTTGTGCGAATATAGCAACGGCAACAACCCTACGGTGCTTCAGACCGTAGAGGTGTACTTTTACGCGCTCGATGGCGTGCCGATGTTCATCGCGGTTGTCTTGTTCAACATCGTGCATCCTGGTCGTATCATGCCAAAGACCAAGATGCCGAGTTTCTGGTCAACGTGCTTGGGGTGCTGTAGGAGCAAGAAGAAAGACCACAAGCTCACGTCTATGAGTGACGAGAGCCAGGAATCATTGCGTCTCCAACATCAGGCCGTCGAGGGCTACATGTACAGGAACCAACCTCTACAGACTGTAGACACTCGATACTGGGGAAGATGATTTAGAATACGGGGTGTGCATGTCAAACAGGTGATAGCGTAGAGGATTTTACGTTTTTATTCAGAATTTGTTACCTTATTTGAATATCCCAACTGGCGACTATCACCGGCTCGGGCTCACCGCTCACGATCTCTCCTCACCTAACCGGCTTACATACTTAGGTACCCTCTGGATGATTTGGGGTCGATGAGCTGCTACCAGACAAAACAAGAAACATCATGACCTTGCGATGGACACGAGAAAGAAATCAATAGAAGAAAAATATCCAAAAAAAAAAAGGAGGATTTGAATCCAATGAATGGCCTCAGCCGGGATTTGAACCCGGGACTATGATAATTGTTAGTAATGGTGAAAGATGAGTATGGGAATGGATAATACGAACCCTCTCGCAAACAGAAGCTTCAGGGTTCACCCTAAGCGAAAATCATACCAACTAGACCACCGAGGCGATGGAAAATTTGCGGATTTAAACGGGTCCATATACCAACCACCCCGTTTGTGGCCCCGCAGAAAAGCGCAGCAGTATGACTAATAGAAATATTACCTATCTTTTCCTCAGGTAGTGGAAACGGTTCGATGATTCGAACGAGACATCATCCGAGACTTGGACCTATTCCATGCAAAAACTTGCTCTGAGAGGAAAATTACATCAAAGCGCGCGACTCAGAATTCGACGTCAAGGAATTGCGCTACGACGAAGTTTAGGGACTCCCTACACGAACGTGGCATGTCATCGTTACTGATGTCGTTCGACGACAATCGTTGTGTGTTCTGGCTCCAGTGCAGCCATTGATGCCGACGCTGGCGATTCCATCTTGTATGTCGAAGGGGGTATGATCACCATACTTCGGTCGTTTCTTTTCATAGATGCTATATTGCATCTTGACGGCGTGCTGTGCTATTTATTCGAGATTGTATGGCGGCAGAACCATAGTATGACGATTCAGCGGGTCCCTAGCTTACGACCTCCTTTGAGGTGACCGCCTTGATGATATTGCCAAAGGTTCTCGATGTGGTCAGTAATTACCTAGGTACCCATTGAGGAGTTAGGGTTCTAGCTATGTCCTAGGAGGGAGATGCCGTGATTATGGGGAGATTGGTTTGACGGCATCAGGGTTGGGAGAAAAACAGTGCATCATCGCAGAGGTTATAAGGACGACCTGCAGAAGAAAAGATTCGATTGACTAAGGACTTGAATGTTTATTTTCTTAGACCGACTAGAACTTGCATATTCACTCGAATGAAATCACGATTGAAATAGACTGGGTTAAAAGAGCCCTTAACCCCTTTAATTCTCCTCGATAGTCCGGATGGGAAGACTCCCACCTATTACCTTCCGCGCTAGCTCAATCATTCTGGAAGCTACAGACCATGCGCGTTAATCATCCTACTATAAAACTTATGTGATCATGTTGATACTTACAGTTGGCGTCTCGGAAGTTGTTCGCTCGAAAGCCCTCCCCGTATCTCATGATGTTACGGCTGCCCCTGTTTCGCAACTGTATTATGTCTGCAGGTGCTGAAAAGACCGACCCTCGACCAGTGTCTCTGAAGAATTCGGGCTTGACTAGAGGCATAGTTAGCTATCCTGTTGGCAGGAGCTCGGGGATAGTAGTAGGGTGAATTACGCTCTGTGCTCAAGACTGTGCATCGATCGTGGCTGGATATGATCAGGCGGTGTCGTCCATCATGATCCCTCGTGACCAGAAGTTCACCATTGGTTATATCGACAATATCATTCTGGAAAGCAACGGATTGGCTGCATAGAGGTGTCAGTACCGAGTTCAACGGCGCAAGTAAAACACCTACAGCCTATAGATCGTTTCCTCATCCTGTCGAGGGTATTGAATTTGATGGGCCAGCAATTCTTTCTTGGTGCTGTTAATTCTGTCATGGAGTCGACGTGCCCCTATTTTTGAATTAGTCCAGTGCTCAGTAGGGGAAGCATGGTGAGGTCTTGGCTTCACCGTCTGCGGTGGTGGTATGGAAGGACACCGTGGCGCCCTCGATGTGACTTAGGTTGCCGTGTTTGTCGACGCCCGCACACTTGATATTCTCCAGGTGTATCGCTGAATGGGCGTCAGACACATCCAGGTGTACGGAGCTAGCTAGAGTGACTGACGGTCAAGATGAAGATCAAGATGATGCTTTGGTTAGCATGCTGTCAATAACCCGAATGGGAGTTAAGGTACATACGTCTGATATCCGTCCTGACTATATCTTCAGTATCTACTGATCCTGGAGATTCCTCGTAGTAAACGACGATCTCGGCATAATTATCGGGCAATCGCAAGTGATCATCGGGATGAGACTGTTTGCTGTGGTTTTCATACAGGAGCAGACTGATATAATCAATTGCGTCTTGAGTATACGACGTGGGCCCGACAGTGATCGTTATATCCTCAATTATATCGCGCATGGAGTCCAAGTCACTGCTGAAGTATCAGTATGGCTTCGCAAGTCTAAGTGAAGCGGAGTGATAGCGTTACTTGACTACCGAAAGAACTTTCCCATGCTCAAGGTTAGATGGGAAATAGGCGAGAAGGTTATTAGTGCCATGGTTGAGCACTGACGCTGCAAAGCTAGAAGCCAGTGGCCTCACGAAGTTCCGCTCAAATTCCAGCACGCCTGATGATTAGACTCAGTCAACATGCAACTCGGGAGGATCATGATAGACCCACATCTTGATAGCATGTTTTTGACTAGGAGGCTGACAAGCATGCCATTATTCGAGTCCCTCAATTGAAGCAGCTGCCAGCTCAGCTCATCCCCAGCAACCCGCACCGCGAAGGAAGAATCGGTCACTGCGATATCAAGGTCCGTTAGTCTCTACTGTAACATTTGGATGCCGAGGATCTTACGGTGAAGAGATGCTACGGCGTGAGCGTGCGCCGTGAAGCTTCCAGGAGTTCTGCAATTACAAGCGAATAGGGGTTCGCGGTCCAAGTCTGGAGCCCCTAGATCCACTTCCAAGCTCACCTGAGGACATATGAGCCCGTTGTTTTGCTCATTCAGCGCGTGAAGCTCAAACCACACCCGGCGCTCATTGACTGTCTCGACATGGAGAGGTTGATGATTGTGTCGAGAATCATTGTTCTTCAAGTTCTCGACATAATAATTATATATCTCTCGAAGCATTCCTTTGTTCTCGTGATGCAATTTCGATTCGTGCTCCTGGTTGTCTCTGATGTGTTTGATACGTGAGCTAGATGGCTGTTAGTCAGAGAAGGCTCTACCTCCCGGCGTTCATGTGCTTCCATATAACGAACCTATTAGCGACCAAGAGAATCAAGTTCAAGCTGTTGGTGTGCGCGCTCATCTGCTCAACAAGTGCAGATAGTCCTTGGCGGTCAACGGTCCAAGATATCCTTTGCCAAGTACTGAGGCATCTCTTAGTCCAGCGCCTCAATCGCGGCTGTCCCGGATTTGGTGGATCAACGATGGCAGTATGCTCCTTGATGGTCTCCTCGAGATGTGTAAGGAGACTTTTGCAGTTGACAAGGACCTGGCTCAATTGTTGTCTTAAGCCTATTCGGTCTTCGGACCGAAAATCATCGAGAGCTTCCACCGCGAATAAAGCAACCGAAAGGGAATGTAGCTGCTCTTCGACACGCCGGAACTCCGATGGTGCTGATCTACGTCCCGTGACAAAAGCTTGATAGAGAAACCGAGAGAGCTTTGCGATTGCGATGGCATCTCCTACTCCAATAGGTGACACCATGATGACAGTTATGAACGCTTCAATCGTACTGGAAATTGATTTGCCTTTCGAACTACATTGTAAGTTTAGAGTTGGTGTGAGTGATTGTGTACACATTGGAAGAAGAGGTCTCAAGGCTGCAAGGTCAAGTTGAGCCACACAGCTGCATAGCCCCCATATGAGCAACGCATATAAGTCGGGCTTTGCCATTGTCACATATGAGCAACGCCACTCAGCACTCCATTCCTCAGGGATATCAAAGATTAGCTTAACTTAGGGTATCCATGTAAGCGAGAACGGATCATTGGATAAGCAACATGATATGGATTATTCCGCAGAAGATACTCAGATACCTACTTGTTCGAATCTCGATGTATACCTAGGTAATGTGTAGAGCAGGATCTGCCGTGGTGCTAACCCTTAATATCACTGAGGTGCGTACGTGCCCAGCTGCATAGCCCCCATATGAGCGACTGATCCCTGATAATGCACACAAGTCGGGCGTTGCCAGCGTCACATCGGAGCAGCGCCACTCAGCACTAGATTTGCACATGCCATAGAAAGGCTAGCAGGCCAGACTGGTTTGAATCAGCATCTTCTTCCAGATGTTCAAAATCCAATCATCCTGGAAATCAATACAGTCTTCATCAAAACGTCCCTAAATACGCTGTTGCGTAACCTTCGGTATCTGGAACTTCCCCTTAATAATCGGAATGCTAATATCTTGTCGATCATGACGGCATTCTTCACGCCAGGAATCTGGTGGAACACGCGAGGCTCGGTGATAGAGGCACTGGATCAGCGAGAGCCTTTCCCTCCGGATATAGATTACACATCCGATTACCCATCATACGGACGCGGCTTCAATGACAAGACACACCAGCATCGCAACGAACATGATGAAGGACAAATGGTCCTGTCTCCGCTGTCTGTAATTATCGCTGGGAAAATCCTTCGGAGCTTTGCAGAAATTAACGTTCAACACACTTTCTACAATAGAACAGATACAGCTCTTCGTCAAGCCTCCTGCTCGTTCTTTGTCCCAGAGGGTTGGGCGGTTGCAAAATTTCAGTGTCGTGTGGGCACCCAGAAGGCGATGAGAGCCCTGGTAGAGACTGAAAGAGAGGCACACAATACTTTTCAACAAGCTGCTTCCAGAGGACAGACCGCTGGCTTGTTCAATCAGCCCCAAGCCAATGAGTTTGCCGCTGTAGTTGGCAACATTCCCGCAAGAACAAAAGTCAAAATGACAATCAGTCTCATCACTAGACTCCAAATCACCGCGGACAGTCACACGAAACTCATACTACCCATGTGCCTTGCACCTCGACGAACGAACCCACCAGCGAGGGGGTGCCAATATACAGCTTTAACCAATCTACCACAACAAATATCGATCAAAATAGAGATATCAAGGGGTCTAAACAGCCCCAAAATCAGCAGTCCAAGTCACGAAATCAACATAGAAAAAAAGGCACCCGTAAGAAAAGCTCAAAGCTGGAGCGACCTCGTCTCTTCGGGCCCACGGATTGTTTCCGACACAACAACAGTTACTTGGCAAAGTAGTCCGGACCTGCTTGACAGAGACTTCGTCCTTGAAATGGTTGAAGAGGAAACCCCCAAGATTCAAGCTTTCAGAGAAGCCCATCCAGATAAAGAAGGGCAACACGCCCTAATGATTAATATTCCTCCCATCTTCTCTATGAAAAAGGCTCATCTCATGAGTTGTGGCGAGATCATCTTTCTTA